ATCACATTGGAGGACTGGCCCTCTCTTTCCCCCATGGATCACATTGGAGGACTGGCCCTCTCTTTCCCCCATGGAGCCACTGGGGAGTTCAGACTGTCAGAGGGGCACAGCCTTTGGGTCAGCAGTGCATTTCCTTACAGACTACACCACTGGAGCTTCCCAACAAATATATACAAATATTATAAAGTATATAGCAGAATTATACATGCTGGTAAAAAAGTGAATGAAGTGGTATCTTGTAAAAGGTATTATGCATATTATTTCCCTTGTTTTATTTTTTAAAGAACAAACTACTCATATATATATATGGTGGTTGTGCCTGGTAATCAGTTCAGACGGTATGACATCTAAAGGAGACTAACTTTGAGTTGTACACCCTTTTGTACTCTTTAATATATTTGAACATGTATGTATTTATATATAAACAAACATAGTTCTCTTGAAAGTGAGACATCCTTTACTGTATGTTATCTTACTTAACAATTTACAAATAAGTTAACAAAAGCATGAATAACTTTTGAAAATAAGTTCTGTCCTAGGGTCTGTAATGATTGTTAAGAAATTCTTTTGGTATCTCCTTAACTCTTTGCACATTAGGGTCAGAAGAAAATCTCAATCAACCAAAATAGGTTGAGTTCTACAACTCTAAGGCTACATCAGTTGCTCTCACTTTTGAGAAGAAGTGAGAAATAATTCCTATACCCTTCTCTCTCTCATTTTCAAAAATGCAAAAAAATTTTAGATAGTCTCTTGGGAAAAAATGTGAATAAAAATTTGACATGAGAAATGTGAGGTAATTTACATGCCAAATCCCCATACTAAAATTCTAAAATCTAGCCCTCACTAGCTCCACTTTCATCATAATGTCTGACTTCATACTTTAACCACTCCAAGCTAGTCCTGCCTCCAGGTATTTGGTCCCATTTACTAGTGCATAGCAAAAAGCAAAATGAATATTTTAAAGTTTCCTGACATTTTTATTCTTTCAAATGAAGTTCACAATACTCATATCATTCACATTATTATGACACTACAAGAGTTAGTTCCACCTAGCTCACAGTAAAAGATTATACTCAAATTCTTCTGAACATGTTCTTCATTGGAATATATTATTTTGAATTCACACTGAAAATCTAAAGGTCGGAAGAAAATAAGCTATGTTGCTAAAGGTTCTATTTAATACAAATATACAGTTGAAAGGCAAAAAATTTTAGTGACACCCTTGGACAAGCAAGTCAGGAAATGAGGAGACACACTGCACTGGGAAAATCTGCAGTCAGGGACTTTTCCAAATTATTGAGGAGTAATGAAGTCAGTTTGAAGACTAAGATGTGTCTGATTTTGGCCATAGTCTTTCTGATAACTAGCTATACATCTGAGAGCTAGACAATGAATGAGGATGACAGAAAAAGAACTGATGCCTTTGAGCCGTGGTGTTGGAGAAGACCACTGACCATCCCATGCATGGCCAAGAGAACAAACAGATATGTCTTTGAGAGGGTGCATCTGAAGTGCTCTTTGGAGGCAATAATGATGAGGCTTTACTTCACATACTGGGGGTATGTTGCTAGGAGGGGCTATTCCTTTGAGAGGGACATGATGCTGGGAAGGGTGGAGGGTCGGCAAAGAAAAGAAAGACCCTCACTCAACCAGGTGGACTGACACAGTAACTGCTGCAATGGGCTCTTAAAAGTGTAACAGGAAGTGTGAGGACGGCATGGGACAGAACAGGGTTCAGATCTTTTGTTTACGGAGTTGCTATCAGTTGTGCTCAACTCAAGGGCACCAAACAACAATCTCCCTAGTGTAGTAAGACTTGATTTAAGAGAGTAAAACTCTTACAGGATTTGCTCTAATATTCCCAGACCTATGACTTATTTAGAGATGTTTGAAATTAACTCAAACTTACTGAGAGCCATGAAAGGAAAACAAGCTATTTCTGTCTACAAAATACACTGTTACGAGTACAAAAAAGGCCATCAACTTGAAGAAAATATTTGCAAAACACATACATGATAAAGGCCTTGTATTCAAATTATATATGAACTTTTAAAACTCAGTAGTAAAAAGCAAACAACCCAAATAAAAAGCAGGTAAGACATTTAAACGAAGAGCTCATGAAAGACACATGGATGGAAAATAAGCAACTGAAAGAGATGCTCCACATCACATGTTATTAGTTGTTCTATACTATGAAGTCATTACTGAAATACAGCTGACCCTCTAGGTTGTCAGAGGCATAAACCAAACAGGAGGAGACTGCCATTTTTCTCCTGTGGAGCATCTGATAGATTCAACTGTGTCCCTTTGGATTGGCAGCGCCCTTCCTTACCAGTTAGCCTTCAGAGAGCCGTTCACATGTCATTAGGGAACTGAAAATGAAAATGAGATACTACTGTATACCTACTGGACCAACAAGCAACATCATGATGGATGGAGAAGAGATTGAATCTCTCAACAACTTCATCTTACTTGAATCCAAAATTAACTCACTCAGTACTAGCAGTCAGGAAATAAGGAGACACTCTGTACTGGAAAAATCTGCAATTAGGGACTTCTCAAATTACTGATGAGTAATGATGTCAATTTGAAGACTAAGGTGCATCTAGTTCAGGCCATAGTCTTTCCAATTACTTGCTATGCATCTGAGACCTAGACAGTGAGTAGGAATAACAGAAGAATTGAGCCTTTGAGCTGTGGTGTTGGAGAAGAGCACTGAAAATCCCATGAACAGTCAAGAGAACAGATATGTCTTGGAGAGAGCACAGCCAGAGCGCTCTTTGGAGGCAAGAATGAGGAGGGCATACTTTGGGCATGTTGCTAGGAGGGGCTGTTCCTTGGAAAAGGACATGATTCCGGGAGGAGTGAAGGGTCTGTGAAAGAAAGGAAGACCCTCAATCCAGTGGAATGACATGGTGACTGCTGCAGTGGACCCTTGTGAGTGTCAGGAAGTGTGAGGATGGTGCAGGACAGAACAGACTTCAGATCTGTTGTTCATAGGGTTACTCTGAGTTGTACTTGACAGCACCTAACAACAACTATATACCTAGTCTCAAAATTCACTGCCATCAAACTGGAACCAGCTGACAGGTGACTTTCCAGGGAGTTCTCAGGAGGCTGTAAACCACCCCGGAGGAGACTGTCTACTTTCTCCCAAGTAGTCACTGTGGTATTCGGATCACTGGAGATACATTACCTTTGGGTTAGTGAACAACTTCTCATGGGCTCTATGGTGGTTGCTGTTTGCCATGGATTTGGAACCAGCCCATAGCTGACCCTCTAGCAGGTTTTCAGGGTCAGGAAATTACACAAGAGGAGACTGCTCATCTTTTTCCCATGAGTTATCTTATGGATTCGAACGCTGTGCCTTTGGGATTGCAGTGCAGCTTCTTACTGCAAGGCCACCAGAACTAACTAAGGACTATGCCATCTCAAATCCAAACTGACATCACCAACTGCTGGCAAGGATGCAAAGAAACAGGAACTCTCATTTAATGCTGATCAGAGTACAAAAGGGTACAGTCGCCTTACAAGAGAATGTGCCAATTTCTTCCACAGCTGAACATAATCTTACCACACTCAAATAGAAAACCCACTTTTGTCAAGTTGATTGTGACTCACTACTGGGACCCTCCCTCGTTTCCCTAAAGAACTCCAGTGTGCTTCGGAGCAGGCTCTGGGCAGGGATACAGCTGGTAAGTAAAGTAAACTGGATCATAAAACACAGGGCCTCCTATGATACCTTGAGCACCAGAACACAGATAGGTGTCAATGAAAATGTTCAAGTCAAGAAGTAAAGTAGTCAGACTTGTCCACACTGTAGAAATATTACCTTGTTGGTAATGTGGATGATTCATCCACAGAACAAAGAGGGAGGCTTCAAGAACAACCATTATAAAGACGGGGGCCTACACCAAAGCCACAATCAGAACTCAAACAGGGCAGAGATTTCACAAATGAGTTGACAGGTTTGGGAGACTAGTGCATGTGTAGGTAAACATGGGATGACCTGACAGCAAAGCAAGTTTGGAGAAATATTTGGGTTTTTTTTTTCTCCAGAGCATAGAATCAGGAGAAACAGTGATATAGGCAACACAGGAAGAAAACGGATGACAACGAATTCTGCTGAATGTGTTGGCAATGAAGTGCTATTAAATATCTTTTCCAACAGGTAACTTTATAAACAGAAGTTGGTCCTCAAGAGAGAAAACAGCTGCAGGAAATCAGGCAGAGAGAGGCGGTACGGTAAGGAGGAGACAGGCGGTCCCACGCTGGTTCCCCAATGCAGTGCCATCGAGTTGGGTCCTCCATCAGCTTCGGAAGGCGTAGATCTCCTTTATTAAAGGAGATCACCCAACTTTCTCCTTGGGAGTGGCTGATGGATTTGAACCACAGACCTTGCAGTTAACAGCCCAAACACCTAATTTCTTAGGTCACCAGGGCTCCTTGGGCTACTGTCAATTATGACTTTATTTAATAAATTGCTGACATATTTTTTGGTATTATATTTTTAAACCACTTCTTTATCATTATTTAAAACACTGAACTTTAGAAAAATATGTATATAGTCCCCAAAACCATCCTCTTTATCAATCTGTACAGTACATTTAATGATGATTTTAAAAATAGCCAAATTGAGGTTATAGCTGTAATCCAAGGAGCCAAGCAAGGCATCCTGGGCCAGTTGATGAATGTAACAAACCAAGTCCACCTACCTGACATCAAGTTACTTCATGCTCTTTTGAAAGCCTTAGATGTGCTGCCACGAGACAGTCAGTCAGTCACAGGATGGAGAAGATTTCACAAACACTGATAAGCAATCTCTCAAGGTACTTACCAGGCCTTTGATCCTGTTCCAGTACACAAATTGAGACCTGAACTCTTCTGCTTTTCCCATGGGCCATCATCAAGGGAAATCTCATAGTAGGAAGCCCTGTGAATTGAGAATATAAAACTGGGTTTGCAGAGTTTATATTTCACAACAAAGAGAGAAACCGTTTTCTTCAGAACTGCTGAAATCTAAGTAAGCCAGCTTGCCTGAGTTACAGACCTAACTTAGTAATAAGCAAACACATCATGATGCTAAATCTATTAAGTTAAAGACTAATAAAAAAGAAAAAGAAGAAAGTTTGCTCTATGTCTCTCGTTCTATCAATATTTGCCATTTCCAGCAAAAGCGTCTTGTAAATGGCTAGCATTACTGCTTTTTTAGAATTTAACATAGTACAGAACCTCATTTAAGAATTCATAAAAAAAGCACCACTTTTTGATGAGTTCATTTTTGTTATCTGGTCTGTGATATAGTGAAGTATATCTAATCCTCTGAGTCACTAACAATTTCTGCTAATTCTTGTTTCTTAAATTATACCTTAATGTCTCTCTGAGCTGTTCTGAAGCTAAGACATTTAAAATAACACTATAAAGAAAATTCTCAACTCGTACTGAATTAGGGGATGAAACCAAGAATAAAACTGATTTGTGCATTTATTTTAAAATTTCTCCAAGTGTTTAATAAATATGGAATCAAATGGATTTTATAGCAGCAGCAGCAAAAAAAAAAAATACTCTTTAACTAGATGAATGTGCAAATGACTTGAAGTGTGGGAAAGTTTCTTTTTGTATCCTAAAATTATAAACTATTAACTTGAAATAATAGTGTCACTGAAAGACACTGGATTTTTTTTCCCCCTCAAGCAAATTGATGTCAACAAAAAAATTTTTAACAAAATACATCTATTCACAATAATGACAATTATTAGACATGCTTACAAATATATGGATAGCTTATTTCTTTTGTAATCCTTTTGGTTTCTGCTGTAAGCACTCAAGTTATAAAAGCTTTACATGATATTTCATTTTCTCTTTTATGCTAACATTATTTACACAAAGAAAAGACTCACATTTAATCTATTTCATAGCTGTTACTTCTTACAAAATGCACCTGACAAGTAGAGTATATACAGACAAGCTAACCATCTCCACAGCAATGACTGCTATTATGCCAGAATCAAGTAGAAACAAGAGATTAGGAGTAAGTAGGGATCAAGGGAAGCAGAGCTGGAAAGTGAAGAAGTGATAGATGAGAAACACTGAGCCCCAAACAATGAGTAGATTTAATGTCATTGTCACATGCAGGTTTACCAGAGATTAGTCAACTCAGAGAATTTATTTCAGGGAAATTATTTTTTTAAGGCAGCAACAAAACTCACAGTCCCTTTAGAGTGGGTATACTTCTTCTTAAACTGTCCACTGCTACAGCCCAAGAATAAGACATTCTAGGTTAGAACAAATAGAAGAAAACAAAACAACAAAATTGGGCTTTTAAAATGTTCTTAAGTCCAAGAACATTATAAATGAGGAATAATACTGCTGTACTTCTTGTTTACCAAGCAACTCACTTAAATTTTCGGAGCATACCGAAGCCTCAAGATGGGATCTGATCAGAAATACTGGGTTTGTAAGGCTGTTTCAATGCTATCGACTGAAATGCTTATTTGAACTCTCTCAATCTCATTTCCCCCCCCCCCCACTGATAAATTATCTTTCTCATAAGAGGTCTATGGCACAGTAAAAGACATAGTATACATAACATGTATAGTGCCCGGCACACAGCAGGCGGCTAGTAAATATTCATTCCCTTTCCAAGAGTCTATCTCATGGAATCTTTAAAAATAAGGTCTAATCATTGCCAGGTTTTGGCACACAAAAAAGTAGGTTCTAATACCTCTGTTAATGAAACCTTGTTCAATAGCATATGACACCGACCCACTGCTGTCCTTTTCTTAGTAGAGAAATAAAGTGAAGCATCAAAGGCACCAAAAAAAGCAGCAACAGTAAAAAAAAAAAAAGCAGCAACAGTCACTGTACAGGAGACCAACCAGGAAACAGAGCATTCTCAGAAAACGCCTCCCGAGGCCTCACTGGCTGCCCAAGTCGGTGCCCCTGCCCCTTCCCTTCCTCCTCTAAGTCACTGAAGTGTTTAGTACAAAGCAATGCTGGCAGAAGCTCTCAGCAGTTAACCAGACGTCTAAACTACACAAACCAAAAACAGGAGCCACTGAGCAGCTTGTAGAGACTACACATAAACATTTTAAACTTTGTAATCTATTTTTAATGTAGACTTTCCACAAAAAAGAAGGCTATTGCTTTCTTCTGACTTTAGCAAGAATGACCAGATAGCACCTTCCTTTCCTCTCATTACATAAAAATATTCACTGTTTATCTCCATCTTGCTTCTAACTTGATATACAGCAAAAGAAAAAAAACAACTTTAAGTCATATGTGATAAAAATAATATATTCTTAATACTTAATGTTATAATATAGTCTTTACACTTTACTAGGGGGTAAGAGGCTGCAATGCAATCCCAAAGGCACGCTGTTTGAATACACCAGCTGCTCCATGGGAGAAGGGTTGTTTTCCTTTAATAATGTTAAAAATTTTTATTTCTTTTAAGTGGTACTATTAATAATTTTAAAGCATGTATTTTACTACTCCCAATATATTAAATAATACATTGCACAATACATAGTATTCTACATAGCAAGTGGACTCATATTTTTGTTGTTGAATCTATTAATATTACACAAAATAATTACGGCTTAAAAATATTCTAGATAATTTTGCTGAATCAGGTTTTATTCTTTTTAATGGTACCAATGTTAAATTACTGACTAGAATTTGAGACTCTTTATAGAGAGGGCAACTTTTGCTCATCATAATTCTTTATCAAAGAATATGACTTGCAAAACCAGTTTTGACAATTTCTGGAATTCTCCATAAAGTAGTGAACCAACCACATTGCCTTTAAAGGGTCAGAGTGCTCTTGCACCAGAAAATGTGATAGAGATTCAATTCTAATTTTCCACTATTAATTTAATTAAAGCTACAAAAATAAGGCAGCTGCTAAAGGAACAACAAAAGTTAATTTATATTATAGTAGTTATTTGATATCCGGTAACAATCTTCACACAAAATGTTTTCCATAAACATTTTGAAAATTTCATCATATATGCTATATTCAGCTCCCACAAAACAGATCTTAAACAGCAATAAAATGCAAATGACATTTTAGACTCTTCATGAGGAACCCCACTATCTTTAATATTTGCTAATACTCGTTACAAACTATAAACTGTCAACACAATTGCCTCACTGTATGTTGCACTCCAAAGGTTACAACCACATTTATGCAATATTACTGCCAAAAATGTTTAGTTTGAACCTTATCAAGCAGAGCAAACTAATATAAAAGTCTAAAATAAAGTATTTCATGCAAGATAATTGGCTTACACCATTCAAAAAACATTAATATTATGAATGCCAAAAATGGTCAAGGGCATAGAGTAAGGAACTTTTTATAAAAAGAAAATCCTGTAATTGTAATGAAAGTTTACAAAAAGATTGGATTTCTACTCACATTTTTATACATGAAGAACTACTCTTAACTAGAGAATTCAAAAAGGCAAGCATGATGACCAAATGCTATGTGTGACCAAAGAAAGGAATCCACTCTGCAGGACATTACTACTAAGAAGATAATTGGAAAAATTTCAATATGGAATGTCTGTACAAAATTTCTATCAATTGGAAATGTATGCCTATTGTATCATGCTCTTAAACATTTCTAAAGTGCCTTTGTGATAGATTAAAGGCTCCGGGAAGTATTGCAGTAAAGAAATCTGAATGACTTTGCTTGACCTAGAGTTTCACAATTAACCCCCATCTTCTTTCCTAGTAACATGTATGAACATTTGGGATATATTTCCATGTTATTCCCAACTTTGAGGCACAATGTAGAAGTTGAATACACACACACACACATACATACACATTATTAAAATAATTCAGAGCTCAGGTTGAAAAGTACCTGGAAGAGAGACTCTCTCCAATGAAGACTTCATTTAGTGCCCTCACTGGCAAAAGCTGAGGTCCTGAGGCCACAGACCCTGTGGACAATGACAACAAGTCCAGGTAAGTCCTTGGAATTTTAGAAACATTATTATATAAATGCTATAAAACAATATGACTTTTATAGTTTCATTTTAGGAGAATCACATATGTCAACTGTAAATAACAAATAACTCAGTAAAAATATTAATTTAAAATTCAAGTAATCATACCTTTACCAGTATAATAATCACACCAAAATAAAACTTAATTCCTTTTGAAAAAAGCAGTCTGATTCTTTTGGAGTGACACTGTAAGAACACTGATCAAAGAAAGGGTGTGGGGTAATACAGAAGAACAACCTTCAAATTCTCATGAAATCTAAGCTTTTGTAAACACCGAGGCTGAATGAACATCACACTACAGCCCTGAGACAATCTTTACACCTTTAACCAAAAATATGTCCTTAAGCCTTCTTTACACCAAACAGCGTTGTTAGGGAGCTCTGGTAGCCTAGTGGTAAGAACTGCTCTGCCAATCCTAAAGTACAGGTTCAAATCCACCAGCTGCCCCAAGGGAAAAAAATGTCCTCCTATGCAATTTAAACTTGGTCCCAACTCGATGGCATGCAACAATTTTGTGTTTAGGTGACTTCTAGTTAACTGTGAACATAGTGACGCCAAACCAAAACTTTCCCTGATCCTGGGCCATCCTCACAATTTCTGCTGTACTTAAAGCCAGTGCTGTAGTCACTGTATCAGGTCATCTCACTGAAGGTCTTCTCTTTCACTGACCCTCCAACTTTCCCAGCATGATGTCATGATTTAGGATAGAAAAAAGGCAGATCGTCGTCAAGGTAATTTTCCAAGGTCTGGCACCTCCTGGCAACATACCCAAAGCAGGTAAGACAAAGTCTAGTGATCCTTGCTTCTGTGGAGCACTTTGATTGTATTTCCTAAGACTTCTGAATGAGTCAAGAATATGACCTTGCTGGGCTAATAATCCAAGAGGTTGGACCATCAAGGATCAGAGGAAGACTCATCAACCACGTATGTTACAGATGATACAACCTTGCTTGCTGAAATCAAGGAGACTTTAAATGTCTGCTACAAAAGATTAAAGACTACAGTCTTCAATATGGATTACAATTACATTGCAAAATTAAGAAAATAAAAATTGTCACCACTCGACCAACAGGCAACAGCATGATAAACGGAGAAAAGACTGAAGTTATCAATAATTTCATCTTACTTGGATCCACAACCAACACCCTTATACAATCAAGAAATCAAAAGATGTACTACACTGCATAAATCTGTCACGGAGCTAAAGTGTTAAGGAACAACAATGCCAGTTTAAAGATGCATCCAATTCAAGCCATGGTCTTTTCAATTACTTGTTTGTTAGGTGTCTGAAAGTTGGACAATGACCAAGGATGATAGAAGACCTTGAGTTGTAGTGTTGAAGAAGAATACTAAGTATGTGATTGACCGCTAAGAAAACAAAAGCAAATATATCCTTGGAGAAAGTACAGCCAGGGTGTTCCTTGGAGACACAAATGGAGGAGCTTAGTCTCACCCATTTGGGGCATGCTGTTTGGAAAAGACATCACCTTGGGAAGCAGTAGGGTCAGTGAAAGAAAGGATGATCCTCGATGAAGTGGACTGATATGACTATGCCAGTGTGCTGAAGTATATCAGAGATAATGAGGATGGCACAGAATAGGACAAGTTTCACAACAGTTGTTCATAGGGTTGTCTGAGTCATAGATGACTTGACATACGTGACAACATCAACATACATAAGATAAAACTGTTAGCAGCAATCCAAAAGGTTAAATAGGAAGGTTGGAGAGCAGAAAGTTCATGTTAATAGAGGACCAACAAGTAGGAAAGGAAGATGTGACTGGCTGTACAACATGAAGAACGTAACTGATGTCACAAATGTACTTGGACAAATCGTTGAATTGGCACATGCAGTCTTTATATTTTCAACAACAACAAAAAGAAACTGCTAATAATAATTTTTTTTTTTTTAAATCCAGGATGAGACAAAAAGTTTATAGTATAGTGAATGCATGTAAACAGGAGAGGAACAATTGCAAAAAAAAAGTGCAAATGGTGCAAAACTCAACTCAAAGAATGCAATCAGAGAACTATACATGTAGAGACAATAGAACTGATGTGTTTTGCTGTGCATGTTGCTGTTGTTGTTAGGTGCTGAGTTGTGTATGATTCACAACTCTATGAACAGTGGATGTGAACCCTGTTCTATCCTGCGCCATCTTCACACTTCCTGACACACTAGGCCCCACTGCGGCAGTCACTGTGTCAATTGACTTGGTCAAGGGAATTCCATGCCTTTGCTGACCCTCAACCCTTCCTAACATCATGTCCCTCTCCAAGGAATAGCCCTTTCTAGCCACATGCCCATCATTCGTGCCTCAAAAAAAACAACAACAAAAAAAACCAACAAACTATACTCTGGCTGCACCATCTCCAATTCATATTTATTTGTTCTTTTGGCAGTCCATGGGATGTTCAATTCTCTTTTCCAACACCTCAACTCCAAGGATTGCTCTTTTCCAACAACTCAACTCAAAAGGATCAATTCTTCTTCTGTCATCCTTATTCACTCTCCAGCTATCAGAAGCATAGCAAGTGACTGGAAAGACCATGGCCTGAATCAGATGCACCTTAGTCCTCAAAGTAACATCATTATTTCTCAGTAATTTGGAAAGGTCTCTAACTTCAGATTTTCCCTGTGCAATACGTTTTCTGATTTCCTGACTGCTGGTACCAAGGGTGTTAACGGTGAATCCAAGATTTAACTGTCGACAGTTTAAATCTCTTCTCCATTCACCATGATGTTACCTATTGGTCCAGTGGTAAGAATCTTTTTTTCTTGACAGTACGATGCAATCCATACTGAAGGCTGCATTCCTTGGTCCTTGACAACAGGTGCTTCAAGTCCTCCTCACTTTCACAAGCAAGGTTTTGTCATCTGCATACTGCAGGTTACTGATGAACCAAGAACCAAGATATGATCTTGAATCTATCCCATATGAATTTCAAGATCATCTTAGGAATAGGTTTGAGGCACTGAACACCAGCGACTGAAGACTGAATGGGTTGTGGGATGATACCAATGATATCATTCATGAGGAAAGCAGAAGGTCATTACAAAGATAGAGGAGAAAGAAACAACCGAAATAGATGTCAGAAGAGATGGAAAACTGCACTAGAGCATCAAAAAGGGAAAACATATTTAAGTAAAAGAGAAGGAGCACTACTGTGTACGTTGTTGTTGTTATGTGCCATTGAGTCACTTGTGACCTATGTACAACAGCTCTGAGCCCTGCTCTATCCTGAGCCAACTTCATCATCTCTGACATACCTACCTCCATTACCCCAGTCACTGAATCAATCCATCTCCTCAAGAGTCTTCCTCTCCTGTGTCCTCCCTCCACCCTCCCAAGCACTATATCCTTCTCCAAGGACTGGTCCCGCCTTGCAAAGTGCCCAAAGTATGTCAGATGTAGCTTTAGAATCCTTGCCTCCAAGGAGCAGCTTGGTTTCACCCTCTCTTGGATGAACTTGTTTGCTCTCCTTAGCAGTCCTTGGTATCGTCAACACTCTTCTCCAGCACCACAGCTCAAAGACATCAATTGTCCTATCATCCCTAGACATCGTCCAGCTTTCTGATGCACAGCACATAATTGCGAAGACTACGGCCTGGATCAGGTGCACCTTGCTGTGTATACTTTTAACAATTAACAACAAAAAAAATTAAATATTTTAAAATTCCAAGAGTAATGAAATATCCGTCACACTAGACTCCTGTCGCACTTCAGTCGGCTCTGGGAGGGTCTGAAACAGCACAGCACTGACAAAGCACTTTCAAAGGAGAATGAGGAATTTAAATATATACAATTTATATTATGTAATATACATATCTTATATGTTAGAAGTGAGTTTGTCTTTACAAGCAGAAATTACATTAGTTCAGATATGTATATATATTCTTATAATCATTATATTCAGAAAAGTATTCATTGTTTCATAGTTAAAAAATACTAAAGACTGATTATTAAATAAGTTTAACATGTGAAAGACTAAACTGCTGTTGTTAGGTGCTATTGAGTTAAGTACAACTCATCGTGACCTGATGAACAGCTGACCTGAACTATGCCCTTTCCTGTGCCATCCTCATCATCTCTGCCCTCTAGAGCTCACTGCTGAAGTCATTGTGTCAGCTGCTGATATCTGACGGATCCTGGCTGAAAGCAGAGAATACAAGAATAATGTCTTTGTTTTATTGATTATGCAAAGACATTTGACTATGTGGATTATAACAAATTATGGCTAACATTGAGAAGAATGGAAATCTCAGGACATTTTATTGTACTCTTCTGAAATATATACCTAAATCAAGAAGCTGTTGTCTGAGGAGAGCAGGGGGACACTTCATGATTTCAAATCAGGAAGGGTGTCTGTTAGGGTTGTATCCTTTCTCCATACTTATTTAGTCTGTATGCTGAGCAAATAATTTGTGAAATTAGACGCTATGAAGAAGAATGTGGCATTAGTATTGAAGGAAGACTCATCAACAACCTGCATTATGCAGATGACACAGCCTTACTTGCTGAAAGTGAGGAGGATATGAAGTGCCTGGTGCAGCAGATCAAAGACTACAGCCTGCTTTTTTCGCCATTTTCCCAGTGTCGCTAAAGCTGCAGCCATGAAGGTTGAGCTGTGCAGTTTCAGCGGGTACAAGATCTACCCCGGGCACGGGAGGCGCTATGCCAGGATCGACGGAAAGGTGTTCCAGTTTCTTAATGCAAAATGCGTGTCGGCTTTCCTTTCCAAAAGGAATCCACGGCAGATCAATTGGACTGTCCTTTACAGAAGGAAGCACAAAAAGGGCCAGTCGGAAGAAATTCAAAAGAAAAGAACCCGCCGAGCAGTCAAATTCCAAAGGGCCATCACTGGTCATCTCTTGCTGATATAATGGCCAAGAGGAATCAAAAACCTGAAGTTAGAAAGGCTCAACGAGAACAGGCTATCAGGGCTGCCAAGGAAGCAAAAAAGGCTAAACAAGCATCTAAAAAGACTGCAATGGCTGCTACTAAGGCTCCCACAAAAGCAGCGCCTAAAAAAAAAATTGCGGAGCCTGTGAAAGTTTCTGCTCCCCGAGTAGGTGGAAAATGCTAAGGAGACTCATAAGGCTTAAATAAAGATGGAGTTGTAACTCTAAAAAAACAAAAAAAAAACAAAGACTACAGCCTTCGACATGGATTATATCTCAACATTAAGAAAATAAAGGTCCTCACCACAGGACCAACAGTCAGCATTATGATAAACGGAGAAAGAAATGAAAGTGTCAATGATTTCATCTTGCTTGATCAACAATTAGTCTTTTGGTACCAGAAGTCTGGAGATCAGGAGATGTATTGCATTAGGCTAAAGCCTGCTGTCAGGGACCTCTCCAAAATGAGGAAGAGCAATGATGTCAGTTTGAAAAAGATAAATTGGATTGGTTTAAATGTGAAAAGGCATATTTGAAGCAAAACTATCATTTACTCCAAAAGCAAGAACAATGAATACGTTTAAAAAGACCATATATTTAGTAAGAATTATTAATAAAAGGGAAGCATTCTTCTGTCTGTCTTCTCTTTAAGAATTTAATACACCACCCACACAAGAGGGGCCACGCACCCACCGAGCGCCCGTGCGGCGGGGTGGGGGGGCGCGCCCCCAATGGCTGCCCGTGCTCAGGAGGGGGGCCGCGCACCTCTGCTGGCTGCCTGCGTAGGAGGTGGGGGATGGGATGCATGCCCGCCATCTGCAGGTTTGGGTTTCCTTGGACAGGCCAAAGAAGAAGATTACCTATACAATGGATTGCTGAAAAATCACTGCGAGTCTGATGACCTTAAAAGTGGCAGCATGCACAAGAGGACCAACATCCTAAATGCACCACATATTTTGTTCTGTTGAATGCTTCTGCCAAAAGATGGTTAGACCTGGGGGGAGTCTGTTCACAATTCTTGGGTTCCTTTTATCATATATAAAAGCGGAGGGCAGTGACACCTACTTCAAAATATAGTATGACCACTTATGGGGGGGGTAAAAGTGGCAGTGCTGAAATTGGAAACACTATTGCTGACCACAGAGTCCTCAGTCAGGTGAGGGGACCAGACTGGGGTAGGGGCAATTGGAGGGGGAGTATACCAGCCAGCTCCTGGGGGGTGTTGCCCTGCTCAGGATGGGCTGCCCTCTGCCCCCGACTTGGGGCAAGCCGTCGTGGCGCTCTGCCCGGGGCGGGCTGCCCTCGGCCCCCGGCTCGGGGTGAGCCGTCGCGGCCCTCAGGGTGAGCTCCTCAGTGCCCAGATTGTGCCATCTGACCCCTGGGTGGGGAAGGGGGGGGGAAAGAATGCCTAGGGTATCCAGAGGATGTTACCTAGGCCACATTCTGCCCCCCCCCCCAGTAAACCGGAAAGCAACACCCTCAAAGCCCTTCTATTTGTAACTCACAAGTTTGTTCTCTCTAGGTTTGCTCCCTTTCCTATAGGTAACCTTAACACTGAGTTTTACTCCAGAATTGACCCTGAACCCAGTGCCAGTGACAAAAAGGAAATACAACTGACAGCTATGGAAGCAAAGAAGGATGGAGCCTCTGGGTTCAACCAGCCATCCCCACTGGACCCACCTGGGAAAACACTTGCAGTCCAGAGCAAGAAGGCAAGCAGCTTTAACCCAAGACCACCAGTAAGGTGATAAAGCATCCTCCCTTCCCCCCTTTACATCAACGCCCCTGTTCAGCATGAAGAAGCCAGAGAGTCGGCATCCAATTCCCAAATCAATAAGACAGATGGTTTAATTACCACTGGAAAATGCTTGTCATTCCTCTGTAGCATCTGGTCCCCACTGAACCCTCATCATTTCCTTCACCTGCTCCCCCCATTTGGGCTTTTTCCAATTTGCTTAATCAATCACTGACTTAAAACACACACACACACACACACACACACACACACACACACACACAAAAAAAAACATCTAACAGCCCAAAACCCCAAACATGACCTCATTGCTATCAATTTGGTTCCGACTCACAGCAACCCTTCACTGGATCTCAGGTTGTAAACTCTAATGTTGAGAAGATTGCCTGTCTTTCTCCGAAGGAGCTCCTGGTTGGTTCGAACGGCCAGAGATGCACAGACTTCTGACTTCTGCAAGCAGCACATGCTGCTTGAACAGCATTCAGACCCCATCAACAAAACCCACTCCAGGTTGATTCCAACTCACAGTAATCCCACAGTGTGGACCCCAGTTGCCCCACTGCGTTTCTAAGGCTGTACATTTTTATGGGAGCAGATTACATCATATTTTCTCCCACAGAGAAATCCCACAGTGGATTTGAACCTACAGTCATTTGGCAAGAAGCTCGACACTCTGTCAATTTTAGTGTTGTTGTTAGGTGCCATCAAGTACAACTCAATGACCCTACGAACAATAGATAGGAACCCAGTCCTACCCTGACCCATCCTCATCATCTCTGACACACTTGATTGAGCACACTGCTGCAGTCACCATGTCAATCCATCTCATTGAGGGCCCTCCTCTCTTTCGTTGACCTTTCCAAGCATGACATCCCTTTCCAAGGAATAGCCTTTCTTAGCAACATGCCCAAGATCTGTGAGATGAAGTTTTGCCATTCTTGCCTCTAAAGAGCACTCTGGGTGCACTTCTTCGAAGACATACCTGGTTTCTTTGGCAGGCCATAGGATATTTTTATAGTCAGCCATCCATTTTTATAGTTACATCTTGTGTATTTCATAACAGAATAAAGAAGTATATTACTCAATTGGAGATAAGTTTTTGAAATTTACTATCTAATCATCTTTAGAAATTATTCCAATATTTAAATTTATTATCCTTCCTGAGTCAACTAATTTTCAAGCTTGTTTTAGAAAATTCTTTTAAAAATATGCAGCATTTCTTGCTTCAGATTCTAATAGTAATATTTAAGATTACAACTAAAGCAAAATATTTTACTTTTTTAAGTGTTACAAACGGTACTAAAATAACAGCATAATTATAAATTATCACTTCCAAACATTAGATGCCGATGTAACTTAAATACTGCCCTGAGTACATCTCAGTGACAACAACCTACTTTCATCGTGAACTCGTTCAATGTTGAAGGCTCTGCTGTGTTGATTCAAACTTAGCTGCTGCTCATGAAGGTCCACAGGCACAGGATTGATGCCAGTCCCTTCAAGATATAACCTGATTCGCTGCCTCCACAACCACCTGGAAAAATGAAGGAAAACAGTGTCAAGGCAGTGCTCGGAATCTGAAGATTCTCTCTCTCACTGCTGAAGACTTAGAACCAATTCATATCAGACCCCCCAGTTCAGTTTGCAGAGGCGGTAAGTCACATGAGAGGAGAATGTCTGTCTTTCTCTCAAGGAGCAGCCAGTGGATTTGAACCACCTGTCTCTGGGTTGGCAGTGCAAATCTTTATTCTCTAGGCCACTAGAGCTTTGTAAATTAAAGATTGTTGTTGTTGTGTACCATCAAGTTGGAACTGACCCGCAGAGGCAGTTTAAGCACGGGGAGGAGAGTGCCGATCTTTTTCCCGCAGAGCAACTTGTGGATTCAAGATTGCAGCACAGTTTACCACTAGGTTACCATTAGACATAATAATTTCACTGAACAAAAAAAATTGTTATTTAAAAATTAGTGATTCCCAAAACAACCTATATACTAGAAACATTAAGATGGACAATTTCCTTGATCAGACAAATTTGGATGTTTATTCTTCTTTTCAATTATAATATATCTAATGTTGTTTATAAACCATTTCCCAAGTAACTTGAACTTAAGTGAACTATCAAGCACCCCTCAGAGCTGAGACACTGAGTTAGATATAGCTTGGATTTTGCCTGCCTTTGAGTATGCAACAATATTCTGTCTACTAGGCCGCCCATCCTTCTCCCATGGAGCAGCAGCTGGTGGCCTCAAACCTCACGTCTTCAGGGATTGCAGCATGCAGCTTCTTACCACTAGGTCACCAGAGCTTGCTTGCTTATTTATTATTTATTTACACACACACATACATACATACATATATACATATATAAAAATAATATTGTCTGTGTATGTATGTATATATCTCTCTATATAAAATATTGTTAATGTAGTCAGGTTAAGTAAAAAACCTTCCCCTCAAAAGTGATGACTGAAAACACTTTTTTTTTTCACAATAAAAGGAAAACAGATAAAGCATAAACAAGTACTATAGTTTTCTGGGGACCTCTGGTGATGCTGTCTGCAGAAAGTTGCATTGCTAAACTAAAGGCACCATCTCTCTGCAGGTTTCAATCCAACTTGGGCTCCAGGAAAAACACAGGCAATCTCCTTCTCTGCTATTTACAGCCTTTGAAAATCTGCTGGAGGCTCAACTATAAGTTGGTTCCAACTCAACAGCAACAAGCTGTGTAGGTTTTCGGTTGTTTTTTTATAAATCTTTCTAAAAGCTCCATAATCAACACTCTTGGTACCAGTAGCCAGGAAATCAAGAGACGCATTGCACTGGGAAAGTCAGCAGTCAGGGAACTTTCTGGAGTACTGAAGAGCAAGGACATCAGTATGGAGACTAAGGTGCGCCTGATCCAGGCCATAGTCTTCGCAATTGCTTGCTATGCATCAGAGAGCTGGACAATGATTAGGAATGAAAGAAAGAGAATTGATGCTTTTGAGCTGTGGTGCTAGAGGAGAGTGTTGCATTTGCCATAGACTTCCAGGAGAACAAACAGGTTCGTCCTGGAGAAGGTGAAACCAGGCTGCTACTTAGAGGCAAGGATTCTGAAGCTTCATCTGACATACTCTAGACATGTTGCAAGAATGGACCAATCCTTGAAGAGGGAACTCATGCTTGAAAGGGTGGAGGAGCAGTGCAAGAGAGGAAGACCTTCTATGACATGGATTGATTTAGTCACTGGGGTAATAAGGGTAGGTGTGTCAGAGACAGTAAGGTTGGCTCAGGATAGAACAGGGTTTAAGGATCTTATACATAGGGTCGCTATGACTCGTTAGCAACTTGATGGCACATAATAACAACAACAACAGTAAAATTAAAAGCAGTATTAATTTATTTCAAAACTAAAAATTGCTGTTTAAAAGCAAGATGAAGAGATTTAGTAAAGCAAACACCAAAAACAGACTCCTACTTGGTGGTGGCATGCTAACTCAGAGGCAGGACCTCTCTGGTGTTTCGAATCCACCCGTAGCAACTTGGGAAAAAGATGGGCAATCTTCTCCCATGCAAATTTACAGCCTCTGGAAACCTGCTGGAGGGTAAGGTGAGTTCGTTCTGACTTGATGGTGATGAAAGAGAAGGTCAGTTCTAGCCATGCCAAAATTGTAGAATAGAACCATAGATCATGGTAATAGAATTATTCTACAGAAGGCAAATAGATTTGATATCATTTCAAAAATTCACAGGGTAAAAGTGTTCTTTCACTAGGAAATTTAGTCTGTCAAGAAATAAAAAGTGGCCCCTATTGGTCTCTTTGAAATATGACTCCTTAAACTTGCACCTCCTCCCATCTTCTTCTTTTCGGTGGATCACAGAGTAAGTTAAAGACATATGACCCAGCTATTCCACTATTTGGAATATAACCTTCTCAGGGTATATTCTCACATGAGAACTGAAGCACAAACTGAGATTTGTACACCAATGTTCACAGCAGCATTATTCACCATCCCAAGAACATTGAAACAGCCCAAATGTCCAACAACAAATGAATGGATTGAGACATTATGGTACATTCCCACAATGGAATACTATGCAGCATGCAGGAGCAATAACTTTGTAATTATTACCTCACTTGGGAGGGACTGGAGAGAATTATGCTGAGTGAACTAACACAGTCCCACAAGGATAAATATTGTATAAAACTATCAATGCAGAATGAGTTTAAGGATCCAGGAGGGGTGGGAGAGGCTGGAAGCAGAGGGATGTGGATGGGCAGGGGGGATGGAGGATTAATAACTGGGCTGTACAATTTGATGGGTGGAGGGTGAGGGAAACGGAAAGAATTTGTTCAAATTTGAATTTTCTCAATAAACTAGTAGAAATATTTAAAAAAAAAAGTATAGGACTATTCAGATTTTCTACTTCAATTTTGTCAGTTTTAATAAATTATGGTTTTGAAAGGAAAAAAAAAGCATGCTCACTAGTTAAGAAATAGGTACTCTGTAAGACAGAGATTACCAGGATACTTAGCAATGCTGGCATAATACCAACTTCCAGTCACTCCTGGGTGATAGAAGACGAGGATAAGAAATTCAAAATCTCAGAGAACTTGCAAGCCTAATTTCAACCAAACTTTTTAAACTAGCTTTCTACCAAACTGCAAAGCATGTGTAAGGAGGCTAAGAGCAGAGAGACAAGGCCTCTATATTACAAAGGTAAAAAACTGATACTTGGCGGCATTAAACAGAGGTCACCTGTATTTGTCAGGGTTTCTATACATGGTTGATAAAGGACTAAGAGATATATCCAATCTCTCTCTCACTAAGCTGAATTACCTTTACCAGTTATATCTAGATATAGTTAAATATTCTCTAATTAGTTTGCTTTAAGAACATTTGGAATGGCACACATGTATATAAGAATTATAGTTAGAAAGTCCTACCTGAACTCCCCGCGATAGAACTTCTTCAAGGCTTCTGGGAAGGAATGTGTGTATCGGACAGGCAGACATAAATGTCCCTCTGACCTTTATTTTAAAAGGGAATTTTGTGATAAAGGAAAAAAGAAAAAGGTTAGATAAAAATAAAACATCTCATTCAAGCTACAAAACTAGACATAAATCTTCTCTATTCATTTTTGTGCCCTTAACTTACCTACTTTTAATATTAACAAAATAAAATTCCAAACAGAAAAAGTATTCTCCGTTCAGCTGTAATGTCACAATATACATTAAAACTTAAGTTTTCACATTATAATGGAGCTCAACATTAGCAAATCTATCATTTCTTGATTATCACAAAACTATCGAAGGATATAGTTTTTACTTTTTAAATTATTTAACTATTAACTTTGGGAAAGTTACTTTAGCATCAGATTCATCTTTAAAATGATGATTAAGCCATTAATGTCAAAGAGCTATTCTATGGAATCAAACTATACCTGTACACCACAACAACATAAAGGTAAACAACTCAGTCACAAAATGGGCATAAGGATATGAACAGACACTTCACCAAAGAATACAGATGGTGAACAAACACATTAAGAAATGTTAAAAATCCCTAGCAAATCAAAACGACTATGAGGTATCATCTTACCCTAGTAAGAATAGTAAACTTTAACAGCAGCAAACAACAAATACTGGCGAGACTGTGGAGAAACGACCCTTATTCACTGTTGGTGGGAGTGAAAAATGGTGCAACCACCATGGAAGGCAGTATGGCACTTTCTCAAAAAGTTGGAAATAGAAATACCATTTGACCCAGCAATTCCACTAGTGGGAATACACTCTAAAGAAAAGAACATATTATAAAATCTTTAAACATAAGAAATCAAATTTGGAAGCTCAAAGGAAAATAAATGTATAATTAGTCAACTGTAAAAAAAAAAAACAAACAAAAAACCCAAAACAAAAACAACAACAAACTGTATCTGTAAGTGGTTTTTTTGTTTGTTTTGTTTTCTCTTGTTGTGTACCAGCATGGGGAGGAGACTGTCCCGCCTTTCCCAGCATAGCATCTGGTGGATTTGAACCACACACCTTTGGTATTGCAGCACTTCTTCTTGCCACTAGAGTTCCCCTGTAAAAGTATTTTGAATAACAATCTCTTTCTAAATGTTAAAAATTCTGAGCCACTAAAATAGAAATGAGACGTGTAGTCCTATGTAAACCTCCACTTACTAGACATAAATGAGGGTGAACTCCTTCAAGGAGTTTGCAGCCTGGAATAGAAGACTGAAAACAATATAATCACAAATGACAAAGTGGTAAGAGTGCCTACAGCCTGCTGTAGGATGACCAATATACATGGCACCGGAAGCAAGGAAAGAGATAGAGAAATCTCAATCAGCGCATTTGATGCTATATGATGTGTGAAATTGTGATGTTTCACTCTTCAAGAAAAGGCTGAGGGTAGGACTTGCAAACAAATTCTTGCTTGTAAATATGTGAAGGACATCTTCCTACTTTTTTTTTGTTGTCTGACCTGCTTAAGTGTGATGTATTTCTACAGCAACTGGCTCCTCTTAATAATATACCCAAAGTAAGTGAGATAAAGTCTCCTATTCATGACTTTTAAGAGCATTCTGGCTGAACTTCTTCTAAGATATATTTATTTGTTCATTTCTAAGTATAAGGTATTTCCATATTCTCTGCCAACAACACAATCTAAAGGCATCAAGCCAGCCCTTATTGAATATGGGGAAGGGATAAGAGGGACCACACACAGCATACTACTATTTTAGAGGCTAGCTACCACATTATTTTCTATAATGTTTGCAATCTTAAGTGTTCAAATGTCATAAATATTTTCCAGGCTCGGTCAAATGGATGCAAAATACAGAACACATATCATTAGCTAACTTGCTGTGATCCATAATCAACACCATTGGCACCAGCAGTCAGGAAATCAAAAGACAAGTTGCACTGGGAAAATCTGCTGTCAAAGAGTTCTCCAGAGTGCTAAAAAAGCAACGATGTCAGTCTAAAGAGTAAGGTGCACCTGATCCAAGCTATGGTCTTAACTGCCCACTGTGTATCTGAGAGCTGGACAATGACTGAGGATGACAGAAAAAGATTTGATGCCTTTGAGCTGTAGTGCAGGACAACAGGAGAGCATGAAACCAGGTTGCTCCTCTGATGCAAGGATTCTGAAACTCTGTCTCACATACTTAAAGCATATTGTCAGGAAGGGCCAGTCCTTGGAGAAAGGTATCCAAAAGGAAGACCTTGGATGAGATGGACTGACACAGTGACTTTGGCAAAGGGGCGCGGTGTGTCAGAGATGGTGGAGTTGGTTCAGGATAGGGCAAGGTTCAGAGTCCTTTTTCATAGGGTCTTTATGAATCATAGTCAACATGACAGCAGATAATAACAACAACAACAACAAGAGTCAAGTTGTTCCTAGTTTGTATCAACTGAATCCCTCCCTCCTGAGATTAGCATAAAGAGGAACTTGGCCTTATCTGCAAAAGACTTCACCATTATCCTTCCTTATGATTTTACTTTGTTTACCTTCCTTATGATTCTCAATAAATACTCAGAGAAGCATGGCTTGGGGGCTTCAGTCATGGGAACTGTTGGCCCCCTGTTTTTCACACTCTGTTCTATATCATTCCTGGTAGTCTGTCTCATTATTAATAATTATAAAAATACCCTCAGTCTACAACATAAATACGATTACCAAAGTTAAGCAAATAATTTTTACCTTAATGATATAAGATATGATATTAAGAAGCCATTAAATCTATGCTGCATCAATATTGAGGCAATCAAAAATAATTACTAAGCCAATGTTCTCAATTACTTACACTACAGGAACATTTACTGAACTCAAGTGTGGTCTCAGCCCTGCTTTTCCTACGATCACTTAATTTACCATTAATTTTTTCAAATGTTTACTGCCTGCCAACAATGTATAAAACTATTCTAGAGACAGAGAAATTAAAATGTGAGGCCATATAATCATTGAGTTTAGAGTTTAAAGAGATAAGCAATTGAGATGGAAATAAAATAAAAAGATAAGTGCTCTCTGTAAAAATCCAGATCCCAGGAGAGGCCCTGTAGAGAGCTCATTCACTAACTATTCCTTCAAATCACAAGCTATCTTAAATGTTGTTGTTGTTGTGATGTGCCTTCAAGTCCTTTGCGACTCATAGCAACCCTATGTACAACAGCCCTAAACCATGCTCTATCCTGTGCCAATCTCAGTGCCTCTGACACACCCATCCCCATCCTGATTACCCCAGTCACTGAATCAATCCACCTCATGGAGGGTCTTCCCCTCCTGCACTGTCCCTCTACCCTACCAAGCATAATGTACCTCTCCAAGGACCCGTCTCTCCTTACAACATGTCCAAAGTATGTCAGACGAAGCCCCAGAATCCTTGCCTCCAAGGAGTAGCATGATTTAACCCTCTCCAGGATGGATCTGTTTGTTTTCTTGGCAGTCCATGGAACCCTCAATACTCTTCTCCAGCACCACAGCTCAAAGGCTTCAATTCTCCTTCTATCCTCCCTAGTCATTTTCCAACTCTCTGATGCAAAACAAGTGATTGCAAAGACCATGGCCTGTATCAGGCGCACCTTAGTCTCCAGAGAGACACCATTGCTCTTGAGTACTTTAGAGAGGTCCCTAACAGCAGACTTGATACGCTTTTTGATTTCCTGACTGCTGGTGCCAAGAGTGTTGACCGTGGAGCCGAGCAAACTGAAGCTGTGAACACTCTCAATCTCTTCGCCATCCATCCTGATGCTACCAAGTGGTCCAGTGGTGAGAATCTTTGTCTTCTTGACATTGAGCCTCAATCCATACTGAAGGCTGCAGTCCTTGACCCTCTGCAGTAAGTGCATGAGGTCCTCCTCAGTTTCAGCAAGCAGGGTTGTGTCATCTGCATAGCGCAGATTGTTGATGGATTGTCCACCACTCCTAACGCCACAGCTTCTCCTCACAGAGCCCAGCCTCTTAGATAATCTGCTCTGCATACAGGTTGGAAAGGTATGGAGATAGGACAAATCCCTATTTGGAGATAGGACAAATCCCAATTTTGAACCATGCAGTGTTGCCCTGCTCTGTTCTGACTACTGCCTCTTGGTCCAAGTATAGGTTTCACATTAGCACGATTAAATGTTCTGGGATTCCCATTCTTCTCAGAGTCAGCCACAGTTTGTTATGATCCACATAGTCAAATGCCTTTGCATAATCAATGAAACACAGATAGACATTCTTCTGGTATTCTCTGCTTTCAGCTAAGATCCATCTAACATCAGCTACAATATCCCTAGTACCACGACCCCTTCTAAACCCAGCCTGGACTTCTAGCAGTTCTCTGTTGATGTACTGTTCCAGTCGTTTTTGGATAATCTTCAGTAGAATCTTGCTTGCATGTGAAATCAATGATATTGTTCTGTAGTTTCCACACTCAGTTGGGTCACCCTTCTTTGAGATGGGAAGAAATATAAATCTCTTCCAGTCAGTTGGCCAAGTGGCTGTTCTCCAGATTTCTTGGCACAACTTGGTGAGCACATCCAGGGCCCTGTGGAGAGCTCATTCACTAACTATTCCTTCAAATCACAAGCTATCTTAAATACTATAGCAAAATACCAGGTTCTACCACCTCATCACTAGTGTCAGCAGACACTCAAAAGGTTATATTTTGCACTAAGAATAGCCTTTGGGTAGAATACCAAAGGAATTTTCTTTTTCCTCAAGAACTATAGTGCCTCCCGAGAAATACATTCTTGGAGGACAGATAATCTTGGAAGATAGATAAAGCTGGAAAAGCAGACTGTGAAAGGGCATAGGGTTGTATCTGTGAGAATCTGCAGTACATCCTGAAGGCCATAAAAGCACTTTCACAGAGGAATGGGCATACTCAGGTTTGCCCTTTGGAAAAGAACAACAAAGTGTGAAGGTTGGGCTGGAAAGGGTGAGACTAGAGGCACTTAGATCATTTCAACACAGGACAGATGCCTGAGCTATGTTTAATGTGAATGAAGACAGTAAGAATTCAAGGTAGTGTTCCCAG